TTATTTACATACACTTACACACTGACACACAATTACGCTCACACACTCACACAAACACACATACACACACACAAACACATAAACTCACAAACACACACACACAAACACATTCAAACACGGCTTTCCGTCTTCTCTTCATTCCGTTGTCCGTTATACACATAGCACCACCTGCTTGTTTCCTTTTTATGAAAGAAAAAAAAAATGCAAGTATATAATTCCCAAAGGAAATCAAAAATAATTACAGCAGACGTAGAGCGATGTTAGACGGGCAAATAAATAGGAATTAAAAAACAAAAAATAAAAAACAACAACAAAGAAACAAAGACAAATGACAAAAAAGAACAAAAGTCATTTACGAAGATGACTCACCCCCGATGCTCCACGAGAGGCCCTTGTAAGGATGCAGCAGCCTGGTGACCCTCCCTGCTCCCCCCGCCCCCAGGGCGGTCGTGTAGCTGTCTCCTATAGCACCCACCACACGCACGTCGCCCGGCCGTAGACGGTGCACGGATGTGGGCACCTCGGCTGTGGACGTGGAGGTGGAGGTGGATTTGACAACCGAGTAACATATCAGTCAACCAATGAGTCAATCAATCAATCAATCAACCAATGAATATTGATGGTTGGCGGGTGCTCTGGTGTGGTTTGCTTCTTCTTTCCTATCAAACATCTATCGTCCTTTTTCCTATCATACATCTATCGTCCCTATCTTCCCTTCTTCTTTTTTATGTTTGTTACTCTCTTGTAACACCTCTAATCTTCTGGCGCTTATATGACCTTATGCAGTTGCGTGCGCTGTAAAACCTCTACTAAATTAAAACAAAAGAATCAATCAATGAATCAATCAATCATTCGATCAATTGATCAATCAATGCTATTAATTTTATTATTATTATTACTATTATTATTTTTTAAATTATTATTATTATTAGATTTAATTTCTTCTGTCGGGTTGGATGTTGTATCTAACTCAGCTCGAGTGTTGGCCCTGGCAGGCAAAACCAAAGCTGACCGCCTAGTAAATAGGCTAAATTGCATCGTCAGGAGCACAAAACTTTTCAGTTACTATTTTTTTTTCATCATTACCTGAGGGTGGTATGGGCTGGCAGGGAAAGGTGTACTCCCGGCCATTGCCCTGTGGTGTTGGGTCGTCCACGTCAGATTCCGGCAGGTCAACGTCCGCCCGGAGCAGCTCCTCGTACTCCGTCCTCAGTGTGGCATCCTCCTGCAGCGAGTCTTTGAGCAGGAACTCCAGTTTTGCCCGGCCTTTCTCTTTGTCTAGTGCCATTCAAGGTTGAGATATAACGACCAAATTGTGTGGATAGTGCCGTAAAACATGAACTCCCCCCAAAAAGGAGTAGTTTTATAACAGAGAAGGAAAGGAAAAGAAAGGAGTAAGATGCATCATAATTTATATTAATCCCTGTTAGAGATTTGATTACCATAGTATTATTGCAATACCCAAAATCCCTAAATTTCCTAGTACTTGTGCATCATTGCTAACGTATATCTTCAATAGGGCAAAGACCAGTGTATGGGGAGCCAGGGAAACTTTTCTAGCTGTCAAAATTAAACAATGACCCGTTAGAGGCTCGTAGTTACCC